TCTCCTCTCCTCTCCTCTCCTCTCCTCTCCTCTCCTCTCCTCTCCTCACAGCTCCTTCAGGTTCGACTCCTTCGACTCCTACGACTCCCGATCCTCCCTGCCCGACCACGACGCCTTCCGCTCCCCCTACGACTACGAATCCGGCCCCGACCGCTCCGATTCCTTCGGGAGCCACTTCGACAGCCGCCGGGACCAAACCCGAAGCCGAGGCGGCGCTTACGGCGCGGTGCGCGGCCGGGGCCAGAACCGACCTCAGAACCGGGGCCGCCCCAACACTTACGGTCGCCCCGAACACTTCATGCCCTCATCCAGCTCCGAGCGGCTGTCGGCGCGCTGGAACGAGCTGAACTACATGGGGGGCCGCGGCGGGGGGCCCAACCGCCTGCCCTCCCTCTTCTCCCAAGCCCTGGTCCCCGAATACGGCGACTACGGGGACTACGGAGACTATGGGGACTACGGGGATTACGGCGACTACGGGGATTACGGCGACTACGGCGTGATGGGGATGTCGGGCATGGGAATGGGGCGCTACGGGAGCGTGCCTTACGGATACGGAGCAGGGCGGCAGCGCAGCCAGGAGCGCATGGGCAGTGCGCCGTGGCACGGGAACATGCTGGGGGTGAGTGTGGGGCTGGCGGCGGCTTCTGTCGTCTTAGTGAGTTTGTCTGGCCTTTAATGACCCAAACCCATGGGGGATAAAGACTCCGTGTGCTTTCCTCTTCCAGATGTGCTCTGCCTGGCTGCGGGGCCAGCAGCAAAGCCTGCGTAGAAGTCTGTAGGATCACTTGGGCTGCAGGGCCAGCAGCAGATGGTTTTACGGCTGGATAAAAGCCCATAGGGTCACTTGGGCTATAAGGCTAGCAGCAACCCTTGATTATAAAGCCTGCAGTGCCAATTAGATGCCCTTGGCCTGGCTGTAGGGCCAGCAACAAATCCTCTTCCGGCTAGATCAATGCATATAGGATCACTTAGAATCATAGAATCATAGAATCACCAAGGTTGGGAAAGACCTCAAAGCTCATCCAGTCCAACCGCTCACCTCTTACCAACAGCTCCCACTAAACCACGTCCCTCAACACAACATCCAGCCTTTCCTTCAACACCCCCAGGCTCGGTGACTCCACCACCTCCCTGTGCATCCATTGCAGTGCCTGACCACCCTTTCCAAAAAGTAATACTTCCTGATGTCCAGCCTGAATCTCCCCTGCCGTAGCTTGAAACCATTCCCTCTGCTCCTATCACTGATGACAAACTGAGAGCAGAGGCTGACCCCCAGCTCACTGCAGCCTCCCTTCAGGCAGTCATAGAGGGCAGTGAGCTCTGCCCTGAGCTCCTCTTCTCCAGGCTGAACATTCCCAGCTCCTTCAGCCTCTCCTCATCAGCCCTGTGTTCCAGACCCCTCACCAACTTTGTTGCTCTCCTTTGAACACGTTCCAGGGCCTCAACGTCTTTCTTGCAGTGAGGGGCCCAAGTGAGTGGCCTTGAGCCACAGGGCCAGAAGCAAAGCTTTTACCAAAACCTGTAGGGTTACTCAGATGTGTTGAGTAGCTGTAGGCCCACCAGCAAAGCCTTTTATCCATAGGGTCACTCAGCCTGGCTGTAGCCCTGCATGTTTGAGGGCCTGCAGCAGAAGGCTTCAGCACGGCACTCGTGGAGCTGCTGGATTGACCGATTTCTCCCCTTTTTAGCCCAAAAGGAGAGGATTCCGAAACCGCTCCGGGGTCCGATCTGACGGTGAGGGGGGGCGCAAACGGAAACAGTCTCAGAGTGGTGATGAGCCTGACAGCAAACAGGCAAAGAGCGACAGCGACGGCGACGACACCGACAACGGTACAGGCTGGGAGCTGCCCGTCCTGCTGTGTTTTTAAGCGCTCAGTCCTCATTTAACTTCAGTGTTGAGGCCTTTGTGCCCCTCAGCGTTGTTGTAATGCGTTCGCAGTGCCGCCTTGGCAAAACTGAGTGCCTGAGGTGAGCTGCTGAGTGCCTGCACCCGGACTGAGAGCACAGGGAGCAATTTGGGGGCTTTTTTTTGTGGGTTCTGAGCCATTTTCGTGGGCCGTGGTGATGAGTGGTGATGAGCCCTTGTCAGCACCCCTAAAATCATTTCTCTCGCACACAGCAGATGAGGGCGAAGGAGAGGAGAAGTCAGGAGATGAAGCTGACAAAGGTGTAAGTATGACATTCGTAGGTTTGTTTTTCCAGTCCTTGTGGCCAATATTTCCCTCTCTTTGCCCTGAGCTGAAAGCCCTGCAGGGGGAGGGCGCCTCATTAAGCTCAAATTCCAATCAGGGAGGGGTTTCCTTCACTCCCCACTCTGTTCTCAGGCAGGGTGGGGATCAGTGCCTTTTATTTTGGCGGTGAGAATTGCTGGGGAGACAAGGAACAAAAGGAGTTGAACAGGGATGTTCTGACTGTCGTACATCAACCCTCCCCTCCCTCCTCATGCTGTCCCCTTTCCCCTCTGCTTCTTGAGGGGGGAGGAGGGGAAAAGGAAAAGCTCAGATGGCAGCAAATGAAACCCTTCTGTTCTCTCTCTGTTTTGCAGGAGCGGGGCAGCTGTGGCGGAGGAAGGAAGGTAGGGTGTGCTGCAGGTAAAGGCATGCAGCCCCACATTGGCACACAGGTGCTGTTGGTGCTTTCAGGCTGTTCTCCAAGTGAAGTCGAGGTGGTGTTGTGGTGTTGAAGCTTCCTTCGTGCCCGGCTCTGGGCTCTGGGCTCCTTTTCTTGAAGAATTCACAGAATTATTACTCAGTTTGTGCTGGCAGATCGCTCACCTCGCAGCTTTTGGCTCAGAACCCTGCAGATTTTAAGTCAGCTGCATCTCAGCCTCACAGTTACCAAAATTTAGGAAGACAACACGTTGAGCATCTCTCAAGCTGTCCTTAGCTGCAACACGAGCGCTTCTAACATCCGTTCTTTTGTTGCTCACCCCTCTCCAGCAGCCCTGTGATTGGGAAGCACTGAGGACAGGAGCAGAAATAGTTGTTTTTTCCCAACAAGCGAGCCTTGGCCGGTATCCCTGTCAGTGTCCTGGCTGTCTGTGATGCTGAGCTGGGTGCCATTGCTGTCTGCAGAGATGGGAGCAGCTCTGGGAGCAGCGGGACAGGAAGCTTTGAGTTTTCCAGACCAAAAAATTACAATTCTTGAAGCTGAGATTAAAGAGAGAGCGAAAGAACTTTGCTCCCTAAGTTCCTCTGCTGGTGAAAGGTGCAGCGGTGAGCGGCTCCTCAAGGATCTGTTCTCATTTTCCCTCCCTCCAGCATCTGGAGATGGCTATGAGGAGGATGATGAGGAGATGAAGAAGAAGAGGGAGAAGCAGAGGAGGAGGGACAGGATGCGTGACCGCGCCATGGACAGGTGAGCAGCATCCCCCCCTGGGCTGCCTGTCCCTTCTGGGGGCTCCTCTGTTAGGGATTGCGTGTGCTGGGGCTCTGAGTGCTGATTTCATCAGGTTTTGTTTCTCTTTTATGTTCTGTGACCGTTTTATCACGTGGAGAACACCGTTGGTTAATGCAGCAAGGCGTTGTAAATCCAGAAGGGCCTATTAATTAGCAAATGATGCAGCCTTACCATTAAGGTAACGCAGCATTAATCTAAAACCAGCGGGCAAGGTGCTCCTGTAGCTCAGGGCTGTCCGAAAGCAGGGAGATGGTCTTTAATTTAATTTTATATGGGACCCTCCTGCAGTTTGACTTGTTGGCTGCTGTTAAGCTTGTGTGGGGCTTTCACATCCTGTCACCTCCTGTTTTAGGGAGCAGCTGATGCTGCTGAACCCCCGTGGGTGCCGCAGTGATGACAGAGGAGCACTGGAAAATCCAACTGGGGCACTTTGAAAACTAAAAAAAAAACCAAACCAACCCAAAACAAAGAGACAGAAAATGCTGCAGTCGCCATCTTGTCGTCGTTGTCCCAGAAGTTCAGCTTGTTCCTCGCCCAGCTCATTCCTTGCTTTTCTTTGCCCCATTCAGGATCCAGTTCGCCTGCTCCGTCTGCAAATTCCGCAGCTTTGAGGAAGAGGAGATCCAGAAGCACCTCCAGAGCAAGTTCCACAAAGAGACCTTGCGCTACATCGGAACCAAGCTGCCCGACAAGACGGTCGAGTTCCTGCAGGTCCGGATCTTTGCGTGTGGTTTCTGGGCTCTGTTTGGATCACTTTGGGCTTGGTGGGGGATGCAGGGGTTCTTCTTCACCCCTTTACTGCTGGGCTGTAAATTTCTGTGCACCATTTCTGTGCGTTGCTCACTGGCGTCGCTTTTCTTGATGCAGTTTCTCGTGGTTTGGCAGGGAAGATAAAGCGATGTGTGAATTTAACCAGCCAAGCCAAGGGTGAATGCTCTAGAAGTTCTTTGCCACTTGGAATAGACAGAGCTGGGGAAAGATGCTGCAGCAGTTCTTTGCCATCTGCACAGACAGAACAGAGAAGGGCCTGAGATGAGGGTTTTATTTTCTGGGGCTGATTGAGATGAGGGTTTTATTTTCTGGGGCTGATTGCTGTTTGCTTTTTGGGGTCAGATAAGCGAGGCTGTTGCCTTCTGATATCTGGAGGGAGCCACCGTTGTGTCCCAGTGGGGTATAAAAGCATCAGCCTGGCAGGGGAAAGCACCCAACGTGCCCCTCAGTTCCCCCCTGTTATCATTCATCCTCCTGGTCTTTCTGCGGAGCTGCTGCTGTCAGCGACAGCTGAGGGGTCGTTGTGTGGTGCTGTTGTCCCCTGCAGGAGTACATCGTCAACAGGAACAGGAAGATCGAGAAGCGGCGCCAGGAGCTGACAGAGAAGGAGGGCACGAAGCAGAAGCCGGATCCCTTCAAGGGTAAGAGGTGTCCAGCTGGTGCTGGGGGTGTCCTGTGGGGCAGGGTGAGTTTGTTGCCTGTTTGGTAGAAGAAATCATTGTGGGGAGGGGGATGTTGGGGAGGGGGATGTTGGGGAGGGGGATGTTGAGGAGGGGGATGTTGAGGAGGGGGATGTTGAGGAGGGGGATGTTGGGGAGGGGGATGTTGAGGAGGGGGATGTTGAGGAGGGGGATGTTGGGGAAGGGGATGTTGAGGAGGGGGATGTTGGGGAGGGGGCTGTCTGTCCGTTCTGTGGTTTCTCCAGCAGCAGAACCGCGAGGCTCGCAGAATAGAAAGGAGGCAAGCCTCCAAAAGCTTGGGCAGAACGCCTCCCTCAACTTCTGCCTGATATCTTCCCATTCCCGCAGGCATTGGCCAGGAGCACTTCTTCAAGAAGATCGAGGCCGCTCACTGCATGGCCTGTGACATGCTGATCCCTGCCCAGAGCCACCTCCTGCAGCGGCACCTGCGCTCCGCAGAGCACAACCGGAACCGCAGGGTGAGCAGCAGCACCAACAGAATCACAGCATCACAGAACCGCAGGGGTTGCAGGGAGCTGCAGAGCTCATCGAGTCCAACCCCCTGCCCCAGCCGTTCCTACAGCAGGGCGCACAGCTCGGCATCCAGGCAGGTCTGGAACATCTGCAGAGCAGGAGACTCCACCACCTCCATGGGCAGCCTGTTCTAATGAACAGTGGGGCCCATAGAGACACGTTGGGACCCATAGAGACCCATTGGGACCCATAGAGACACGTTGGGACCCATAGAGACATGTTGAGACCCATAGAGACACATTGGGACCCATTGGGACCCATGGAGACACATTGGGACCCATAGAGATTTGTTGGGACCCATTAGGACCCATAGAGACACAGAATCACAGGGGTTGGAAGGGAGCTGCAGAGCTCATGCAGTCCAACCCCCTGCCCCAGCCGTTCCTACAGCAGGTCGCACAGGTCGGCATCCAGGCAGGTCTGGAACATCTGCAGAGCAGGAGACTCCACCACCTCCCTGGGCAGCCTGTTCCAGTGAACAGTGGGACCCATAGAGACCCATTGGGACCCATAGAGACACGTTGGGACT